ATGACACTTGATTGAACCCTGAAATTAATTATAAGGTAGAGAGAAGAAATAAATAAAGGATATAATCACTAATTATGGTCTATTAGATTTTCTCCAGCTAAACAGTAGGCAGAGATAAAACAAACTTCTTTTAAACATGAAGACCGTGGTTATTATCCGAAATTCTCATAGAAGTCACTTACTAAATCACTGAATGATTTAGTTTTATCGACTGAATAACCACTATTGACCAAATATCATCTTATTTTTAATTTGTACTCATTACTGAATATATTGGATCGATGGGCAGAACACTTCAGGGATCAGTCCAATCGGCCTTCAGCCACACTTCGGTTGCCCACGATCTTTAGGAAATCTAAGGCGACGGAGAGCAGCGGGTCCTGATAGATTGACCCCTGAGATTTCTAAGGATGGTGGTCCAGTTTTAACAGTTAGATTCACTGAGATCTTAAGTAGGATTCGGGGACTGGATGTAATCCGACCTGACTGGTCTCAATCCTTGATTGTCCCAATTTATGAGAAAGGACAAAAGTCTTGTGACAATCACAGGGGAATCAGTCTAACTAATATAGTTTCTCAATTGTTAACCTCGATTATCCTTAGACGCCTAAATAGAGCTCGTGAAGAGAAGACTAGAGAATACCAGGCTGGTTTCGCACCTGGGCGTGGCTGTATAGACCACATTTTCATACTACGACAGATCCTGGAACGCAAGCACACATACAGTCGTCCTACAATAGTTGTCTTCCTTGGCCTTAAGGCGGCATTCGGCTCGGTGGATCGTGAGGTTCTGTGGCAGTGTCTGTCATTGAAAGGTGTACCAAAGAAGTACATTAACCTTATACAAGCTCTCTAATCGAACGCTACAGGTCGAGTTAGAGCTTATGACGAACTGTCATCAGAATTGATTACTTCAAGTTGTGTCAGTCAGGGACGTCCACTTTCACCATGCTTGTTCAATTTTGTCTTAGACATGTTTCTAGATATAACTTAATCTTTGTCTGAATTTTCAGGGTTAGACCTTCTGCAAGGAGATTCGTTGGTTGACTTAGAATATGCTGATGATATAGTTCTACTTGGTGAAAACGCTGACAAAATGCAGTCTTCTGACAACCCTGGGCAACATTGCAAGCATGTTTGGGATTCTGTTTTCCCTTCGAAATGCAAAATGTTGCTTCAAGATTGGCTGGTATCAGTACCTGAACTAGTAATAGGGAGTGAAATAGTCGAGCGTGTACACCGCATCACGTATCTGGGGAGTCTCATCAGTGCCGATGGCCTGGTGACTGACGAAATCTCAGCTCGGATACAGAAGGCTCGATTGGCTTTTGCTAACTTGCGTCATTTATGGCGTAGGTGAAATATCCGTTTGCTGACTAAAGGATGAGTGCACTGCGCAGAAGTTCACTCCCTCCTACTATACGGATGCGAAACATGGCCAGTGAGAGTAGAGGACATTCGTAGATTTCTTGTCTTCGATCATCGGTGTCTCCGAAGGATTGCTCGTGTTTCATGAGACAACCGTATAAGCAATGCTATCGTTAGGAAACGAGTTCTAGGTAGGGACGGCTAATCAATAGATGAAGTAATGATGCTTCATCAGTTGAGGTGGTAGGGACATGTGCTACGAATGCCTAACCATCGAATGTCGCGACGAGCTATGTTTTCTGGTGTAGGAGTAGGTTGTAAGAAAGTTAGGGACGGCCAAACCAAAACATGTCAGAAATCCATGAAATCACTGACAAGTGGACTGAGTCATGTTGGTAGATGTAGGCTACCTGGTTGGAGTTCGCGAGACGATCGTCACCGATGGTAGAGACCTTGAACGACATGGCTCAGAATCGTTTGCAGTGGCACAGTTGCATCCACTCTTTGTGTTCTATGAAATTCTAAGCTTCTGCATCCCTCATAATCTCTATCTTTCTCCTTCTAGATGTTTCTCACTGAATTATACTTCTCGAACCATATCTTTGCTAATACATTTACAATCGCTACCACTCTTGGATTTTAACTGACAGTTGCGTCTCTGTACTGATGTCGTATGGCAACCGATGTACTTACGTACGAAGTTCTGCGTTCTGTCTGTCTGTCTGTATCTCAGGTGGATGATTGTGACAGAGTTTCGTTCTGTGATTTGGATGTTTCAATTATGGATTACTTCATTTCTACTTGAAGTTTGTGCTGATGACATTGTTCAGAAGAACAATGAAAGCTCCATAATCAAAACATCCATCTTAAAGAACGAAACTTCATCACAAGCTGTAGGTGTCGCCTAATATCGAAAGATAATTCATATTATCCAAATTTCGTGTAAACCAAACAGGTAGAGTGATTTCGAACTTGTAATTTCAATTATGTTCAACCGAATTTTTAATTTTGAAAACTCTACACTTATTATACTCCTCTCTTTCAAAATTATTCCATATTGTTTATTTCACTCAGAACATTGTAAAAAAAAATCTTTATACTTCGCTTAACCACTTGTTATTAATTTAAATTCGACATTTCATTCGGTGTATTGAAAAAAATAACCCTCATGCAAAATATTAATTGTGCGTAGCTGACCTCAATTGTTTTTTAAAGTATATATCTGTGTGTTTGTGTGCGCGCGCGCGCGCATGTGTACATACTCGCTTTATTATCCCATAGATATATTGAATACTACTACTAATCTGCTTTACTTTCTTTGCGCGCTTACACAAACAAACATGCATGGATTATATTTTCCTGTTGGGCTGCTTATTCAATAATGTATTGTGAGAAAAAACAATATATATATATATATATATATATATATATATGTGCATTACATTTTGATTATTTTATGCATTGCACATTTGCAATTTTTTAAGGACATGTTGTTGCCTTGCTTTTTTTTTATTGAAAAAACAAATCATTCAATATTGAATGCAGGTTATTATATTCTTCAATGTTTTGCTGTAATCTTTTTTTTTTAAAAAAAATAAGAAAATTTTAATTGCCATACAATTCCATGGAGTAGTTGTGCATGTTCTATTTATTCAATTACGGCGGATTGTATGGTGTTCTGCTTTTTCTGTGTGTGTACGTATGTATGTGCATGTGCCTTGTGTAATCTGTATGTGTACATTACCTCATACTTACCTAACTAAACTTTTTTTTGTGTGTGAACTTTTTCTTTCTTTTTTAAAAGAACAACAAAGTGTGTGTGTGTGTTGTTGAATAATTTTATTTCTATTATCTGTGACATGTTTATTCAGTAGTCTTTCGTTTTTTTTTTCGCTTCAAGCTGTCGATTAAAGCAATGTACACATAAGTTTTTCTCTCACTCACTAAAGAGGAAACAAAGGTGAATGTAGGATAGATAGGCAGTACAGATGTATCACTGCTTCTAATTCTAAACCATCTTATTTAGGCATAGAAAATGTGGGATTACGCCAATTATTCAGTGTTGAGGCTAGATTTCGGGTATTAGAAAAAAATGCAAAAACATTTGACAAGGTTGTGAATATCCAACGACTGAGGTAGCTAGGACATATATACATGCTCAACCGCCACCTACTTCGACATGTGGTGTTGGTTGGAGTAGGAAGGAAGTTGGGAATGGCTAAACCGACACGCATTATCAGTCTATGGAGTCATTGACTATATGGTTGAATACAAGCGTTCATCGTTACTGATGGTTGGAGACTTTCTGAGACATTAGTTAGAACCAACCACTGTGACACAAATACATTCATTGTGTATCTTCCCATCAATCTTGGTTTCTCTGATACTACTTTAACTAGTATGGTATTCATCTTGGTAATTTCATCTCAATGTCCCGACGCTATGCGTTATATCCCCTTCTGATACACCTTAGCATCAAATTTTATGTTAAATATAACTGACTCATCAACATTATGCAAGTGAAGTTTGTTAACAATTACTTGTGATCTCATCATCATGGCCTCTGATTTTAATTGTAATGTTTGGAAGTTGTAAGTCATTTGCAACGTAGAACTTCGTACGTATGTACATAAGTTCATGTTGCCATACCACATTAGCACAGAGACGCAAATGTCAAGTCAAATCCCATAGTGATAAAGATGGTAGAGGTATTAATGGTAATGAAGAAGAATAGGGTTTGAAGATATTATTCAAGAAGTATAATTCAGTGAGACTGCTGTCACACCCCTCTGCAGTCAGCAGTACGACTTCGCCCTCAGACCTTGGGTAGCTGCTTTTAGTCTCATCGTTCTCCAATTGACCTGCCTGGCATGGTAGGACCTTCAGGAACATATGTTCCAGCCCGACCACCGCGTCAAGGTAGCAGCTTCGGTCGGGTTGGAAGTTGTAAGGCGAACTGCTACATCTTCTGATAGACAATTCACATGTATTACAAATCGGTGATATTGGTCATCATTAAAACATCATAGTTCATCACATTACTAGGAAAAAAATCAGACTGTCAAACCTGACACTGATATAAACGAGCCTTGAAATAGCTATTTACATTCGTAAACATTCATAAAACAAAATTCCATCCTAAACATCTATATTTAACATCTAAACATTCTACCTATTCTATAAATATCACCAAATAAAACTATCACATCCGTATACTTTCATAACAATAAATGTGTTTTCAGATTAAGCAATAATTTCCTTGTGTGAATATTTCCAATCATCTATCTGATGTATATATATTTATATTTTTAGTACCATTCAACTCCATCATTTACCACTTCTCATTCTCTAATCTACAAACTTTTTATTCATCTGCAACTTAATGAGTTTTCATTTATTATCTATAATTCAAGCTGTTCAACATAAATTCACTATCCTATAATTAGTCTATGCAAAACTTTTCAAACTTCATTAATCTTACAACAATTGAGTTTCACTAATGTATTTTAGCTCATTTTACTACTAATGTTTACAAATTGTTGTTGAATCATTCATTCATTGCTGATTTGAGTGGTATTGACAAAAAAATAATGTTTTCATTCAATTCTCATTCATTCATCACAATGTTCATAGTATTTTAATTTAAAATGTTGTTCTGTCCAGTATAGTGTATCATGTTAAACAGTAAAATATGAGTTTTCTGTTATTGTTGAATTTTAATCAATTAAAGGGTTGTGAAGATTGTCAAGTGACTTTGAAATCATAAGGTGATCAATGATAGACGATTATTACAAAACCTGCAAGCATTGGACGGCCATTTTGTCCTAGTATGGGACTTATCGGCAGGAATCGAACCCAGGACCTTCGGTCTTGCACTCAAATGCCTAAAAAGAATTACATGTAAACTTATAAATAATAAGCAATGATGTATTAAACTCTCTCAATGTTACGGTAGTTCACATTATTCAACTATGTTAGAGTTTGTCGAAAAATTGCAATCTGAGATAGAGATAATTTATAATATCACGGGAATCGCTTAATATGTTCTATAATTTGTTGGTCTCGTCATATTCTACTTCATTCAAGAGAAGTATTCTTTTTTTTTGTATGAACAAACAGAATTCTAATAATCTTTCTAAAAAAATATGTTTTAATTTATTTACTAAATGTTTTGCCTCAGTTTATTGCTGGAACTCTTTGTTTTCTCATCCAAGTTTACGGTTAAGGAAAGAACATATTTTGTGAAAACAAACCTTTATACAGAAAATCGGATTGGAAAGAAATTGTTGTTTACCTATTTTACATTATAGAGTTGCGGAGATTTATGAGTTTATGAGTTTTGTTGAAATCATGAATCAGTCTAGAGGTTAAGAAGCGTTTGCGCACGAGACCGAATGTCCTGGATTCGATCCCTATTGGGGTGGGGGTCGTGGATGCCCACTGCCGATGAGTCCCATACTAGGACAAAATGGCCGTTGAGTGCTTCCAGGCTTCTAATCATGGTTTAATATATTGTAATCGTTTAATTATAAAACGCTTGGATTCTCTTTTTTTTGAATATTCTCCTGTTTGCAAGCTGTTGTTTAGCGCATAAACTATATTTTTATATTTCGCTCTCTCTTACAGTTTTTGTTAATTAATGACCGAGTTGTTACTCAGTTTCCTTCTCACCTAAAGCTTAATTATGCACATATTGCAACTGTTTGTTTAATATTTTATGATCAGGAATTTACTATACTACCTGATCGATAACTTGTCTGCTCACCATGCTCTCTTATCGAGTTGACTACTGAGCACGAAGGAGAAATCGTTGCAATGATACCAATTGGCATTAAGATTATATTGGCCACAGTACCAAGGTTAATAATCATCCTTAGCCGAAGCATGTTGTTATTCAAAATTATTGGAGTTTAGTTTATGGGAAATTATAGTCTGGATTTTGATTGGTGATTCTTATCAAGTGACATCGATTTTAATCACCAGCATAATAGTTTACCGACTGTCATTCTTTGAGTACTGCTCTACTCTGTTACTCATATATATATATATATATATATATATATATATATATATCACTTAAATGCATCCCTTACCTATTCCATTACTAATCTTAGCATAAATTTATATTATGCTTTTAACTTACCATATCGATGAATAAAATGAAATTAACGCCTTACTGTTCAGTTCGATAATCTCATATACAAAAATACATCACTTTCAATTTAACTGGCTTCCATGATGTAGATAGAACAAGATTTTCGTCAAGATGCTTAAGTAAAAAGCGAGAAAAAAAGGGGCACAGAAATATGTGGATAATATGTCTAGTGGGATTACTAGGAACGTTTTTTTTTCCAACTTATCGAATTTTTATTGTAAACTATCGTAAGTTAGCATATTAAATTGCATTGATTTTTTGCATAATACATATAGAATAGTTTGTTTTTTTCTGCCTTCGATTCACAGTGTTAACATACGATGAAGGCAATCATGATGAAGTGGATGCTAGTGCTGCATTAGCTGAACTAGAGAAAATGCCTCATATCGGTGTCACTAAAGCCGGACAAACTCGTGGTATCTTAGATAAAATCGATGGAATACGAACAATGACTGATAGTGTTGATGAGAATACTTTAAACTCTACTCAACGTAGTGATAGTAAGTGATTACGCTTAAAATGGAATGTTTTTTTTTATAATAATTTCCTCCCATTGAGTTACTTATCTCTGCGAAATTTACCAGAAATTGTTGATTTTTGCTTACTTACGCCTGTTACCCCTAGTGGAGCATATAGGCCGCCGACCAGTATTCTCCAACCTACTCTGTCCTGGTTTTCCCTTTCTAGTTTTGTCCATTCTCATTGTAGTGAATGAGAACACAGGTGGAGGCAACCGAATTGTATTTAACGAAAATTACAGAGTTACTCAGTAAAATCGGAAAACCATATCGTAAATCGTTCATTTGCAAAGGATCAGTTCATCCTATGGAACTGGACTGTTCCTGTTGCCAAACATCAATCCATTGTCACTCTTCATGCGTTTCATACAAATTCCATTGTTTTCTGACTCTTCCTTCCTTGATCTTCCCCCCATATTATGCTACCAGACTTTACGTTGACACTCACGCTATATACTACTTATAAGTAGTTCGCACCACAGCACCACACTCGTCCCCCCTTTTAATAAGCTGTCGTCGCAGTCTTTCTGATCTCCGTACAGCCGTCTTCTTCATCAGTGTTTGTGGCTCGCCCTCTTGGCGCACTTGGAACCACCTTTGGAGTTCACTGGCATTCACGCGTTTCTGTTTGTTTCCTTTCTGGATCGTATACACTGCGCCGCGCCTCTCGGTGACGACGTACGGTCCCTCCCACTTCGGGATCAGCTTACCTGACCCTGGCCCTCTTCCTGTGGTATATTTCCGTTCTCTACACTTCACCTGATCTCCCACTTCAAACAATCTCCAGTTCCTTCTCTCCTGTTCTGACTTTTCCATGTCTGATGTTTGTTTCTCTCTCACATTCCTGATTGCTTGTCTCCGCTCTGTTCTCAATCTTGTTGTATTCCATCTCTGTTGTTGCGGCCAGGTTTTATCATGCGTTGGTAGTCTCGGCCGTCTGCCGTACATCAGCTGGAACGGTGACTTCCTGGTTGTTCCCTGTGCCGAGGCACGATGTGCCAGCAAGATTAATGGTAATTCTTTCTCCCAGTCACCCCCTTTAGATGCTAGCCATTCCTTTAGCGTTCGGTTATTCCTTTCCGTTAACCCATTCGTCTGTGGATGATACGGCGTTGTTCGTACTCTCTTGATACCTAACTGCTTTAGACGGGACTTGAACTCATCACTCTCGAAACAGGGACCTTGATCGGTTAATATTATCTTTGGTATCCCATGGTCCGCCACAATGTGCCGCATTACCGCTTCCGTCACCGTCCTTGCACGTTGGTCCGCCATCGGCACGGCATTTACCCATCGTGTGGCATGCTCAGTCATCACCAGCAGGTACTGGTTACCACTTGTCGTCTGCGGGAACGGTCCCATAACATCTACTGACCACAAATCACCAACTGCTGTTACTGGAATTGACTGCAATGGCGGTCGTATGCATCGATCTCCTTTCATTAGTTGACATCGCTGGCACGCTAATACATATCGTGCAACATCGTCTCTCATACCTGGCCAGTACGCACTTTGTCGCAGCAAATCAGTTGTCCGTGCAATACCTGTATGCGCTACCTGGTGACATTCACGAATCATCTCCTGGCGCAGATCTTTTGGGATTATTGCTACCCAATTCTCGTCATCATCCCGCCAGGTCAAGGCTCCGTATCCGTTCACTCTCAGTCTCTCCTTCTGCCTCAGCAACACTGTTAATTCTTTATCTGTTCTACTCTTGTCAACATCTTCTCCCTCTTTTATCACTCTGATTACCTCCCGAAGGTTAGGGTCGGCTTTCTGATGTCGGACGAGTTCTAGGGGGTCTCCCTCTAGGCCGTTAACTGCACACGCTATCTCTGGAAGTTCGGCTTCGGTGTCCGGTCTTGACAAATAATCTGCCATTACATTTTCCTCCCCTGGCACATGCCCGATGCTGAAATCATACTCCTGCAGACGTAGCATCCATCGAGCCAACTTCCCCCGAGGGTCTTTTGCTGTTTTCAACCATTGTAGAGGCTTATGATCCGTCTCGATGTGAAATCGTCTACCTAAAAGGTACGGTCTCCATTTCTCTACTGCCCACACGATTGCTAGGCATTCCTTCTCGATCGTTGAATACTTCTGTTCGGCGGGTGTGAGAACGCGACTTGCGTATTCCACCACTCTATCAGCCTGACTCAATACCGCACCTATACCATGATCACTTGCATCTGTGGCCACTGTAAACAGTTTACCGGGTTCAGGCAGTCGCAGCGTCATCTGACGATTGTCTAGCATGTTTTTGATTCGGTTGAACGTTTGTTCGGCAGCCTCAGTCCATGTAAACTTGGTGTTGCTCAGCAACTTATATAAGGGCGCTGCTATTTCGTTGAAATTCTTGACAAACCGACTATAGAACGCCGCTCTTCCCAGGAACTGTCTCAACTTCCTTTTCGAATTAGGTACTGAAATATTTTTTATGGTAAGAATTTTCTCTGGTAATGGCTTTATTTCTCCGTTTCCCACTTTATGTCCCAACAATATGACGCTGTTTTTCGCTATCTGCGACTTTTCCTTATTAATTCGAAGCCCAAATTCGTCAATTCGCTTTAAGACCGCTTCCACATGCTTGACGTGATCTGTTTCCGTCAGGCTGTATACAACTACATCGTCGCCATATACCTCAACATTATCTAGATTCTTAAGCAGCAGCGTCATCAATCTTCTGAACGTGAACGGTGCACCAGCCAACCCGAACGGCATTCGTTTAAATTGATATTGTTTATCCCGTATAGTAAATGCTGTCTTGTTGCGATCGCTATCTTTTATAGGTAGTTGCCAATAACCTGACCGTAAATCCAGCACTGTAAACACCGTGGCATTCTGTAATCGATCTAATGTTTCTACTACTGTTGGCATTGCGCACGGTTTCAGGTCTGTTATATTATTCAGTTCTCTAAAGTCGACGCAAAATCTATACTTTCCATTGGGTTTCTTTACCAAGAGTACCGGTGAGCTATACGGGCTGTCTGCTTCCTCAATTATACCTTCCTTCAACATTTCCTGGACCTGTCGATTTACCTCGGCCTCTAAATGCACTGGGACACGACGTGTTGTAAATATATTTACTCGGTCGTTCTTTATAGGAATTTCATGCTTTACTTTGTCACAAAATCCATACGGCTCCCCATCTCCAGTGAACAGTTTCGCATACTTCGCGCATAACTCGTTAACGTTAGGTTTCTTGGTCGAGACGTCCGTTGCCATCCTTATTTCAGCCACTTCGCTACTTTCATGTATTGGCAATGAACCGTACTTTGTGACCATTTTCCCGCTTCTCAAGTCAATTATTGCTTTTACCTCTCTTAGGAAATCTGCTCCTAATATCGGTCTCGATAAGCTTGTGGTTACCACGAACGGAAAATTTATCTCAGCTCCACTCATTTTTACAATACTGTTAGATACCCCCAACACCTCTAGCATATGCCCTCCTATGGTGTGGACAGCTAATGTACATGGTTTAATTGTCTTACATTGCTCTTTGCTTATTAACGATATAGCTGCCCCTGTATCAATCAAACACACTAACTCCCGTTCATTTATGTACACTCTGGCATAAATTGCCCCTCTATCTACTAGTGCAAGAACCTCCCAATTCCTAGGGTGGAAAGAAAACACGTTATAATGTTTAAAATATCGTCGTCGTCGTCTTCTTGGACAGTTTATCTTCCAATGTCCTGCCTCTCCACAAGCGTAACATTTATCGTTCCTTTTATGATTTACTCGTAATGCTGCTATCTCACGCTCTAACTCCTCAATCTTCTTCTCGAAAGTATTTATCTCCTGCTTTTCGCACCCGACCGGAGCTACTGTTCGTGTCATCAGCTGACGAGTCACCTTCGCCAGTTCACCGATGTCCATAGGTTGTGCTGCATTTACTAATCTCAGCTGCTGGGACACAGCGGCAGGCACACTCTCAATAAATTGCGACGCCAACAATTGTGCCTCCGACTCCTCATCGATATTCGGCAACGCACGGCGCAGCAACCTTTTGAGTTCCACAGCGAGCACCAGCGGGTCACCATCAGCCGACAGCCTCGCCAACCGGAACTTCCGCAACGCCTCCTCCCTGTCCACCGGGCTGTCGAACTCGGTCATCAGCCGCTCAACGACCGCCTCCCATGGCGTCTTCCCGCCAGCACCGTCCAAGCCGTCATATACGGCCTTCGCCCTTCCTCTCAGCAGCGTCCCCAGCACCACCAGCTTCGCCTTCGGTTCCTTCACCCCCACCAGCTCCGCCACGGCCTCAAACTCCTTCAGGAAGCCCCGCACATCCCCGTCTTCAAACTCCTTCGTCCATGGAATCTTCATCCTTTGCGTAGGCAGCGACACCAAATGTAGTGAATGAGAACACAGGTGGAGGCAGCCGAATTGGATTTAACGAAAATTACAGAGTTACTCAGTAAAATCGGAAAACCATATCGTAAATCGTTCATTTGCAAAGGATCAGTTCATCCTATGGAACTGGAATGTTCCTGTTGCCAAACATCAATCCATTGTCACTCTTCATGCGTTTCATACAAATTCCATTGTTTTCTGACTCTTCCTTTCTTGATCTTCCCCCCATATTATGCTACCAGACTTTACGTTGACACTCACGCTATATACTACTCATAAGTAGTTCGCACCACAGCACCACATCATGTCTGTCTCAGTTTCTCGGTGTAATGTGTTTCTCGGCTTTGAGGAGTCCAAATGAAGGCTTGTCTTGTAACGCAGTTGGGTGCTTTCCTCAATGTGTATCCCCTCCCACATTAGGTTGTTACTGATAGTGTCTGGCACAGCAAGTCTGAAGTAGTTTGCTTAGACAGCTGTTAATGAACACTTGAATCTTCTGGATAATGGCTCTCGTAGTTTTCCAAGCTTCGGCCCTATACAGTAGAACTGTCTTGACATTAGTATTGAGAATGCCGTCGTTGGTTTCTATGTTAGCTTTTATTTGTTTACATATAAAATGACTATGGAGTAGTAGTTTTATACCATTGTCGATATCAGGGTTTTTGACAGTGTATATTCACATAAATAGACCATAGATTGTGGGCTGACTCACTAGATGAGATGTGCCTTTTATGGAATTAATATTAGCTGGAATGGTCAAAGGCTATCGCATGTCATTATCTAGCCATAAAAAAGACGTCCAAACGATTCGACTCACGAAAACAAGTATTTCATTCGATAAAATTATTATGCACTAATATTTATGTGATTAATTTCTGTGGTGAATTCATTATTGATGTTTACATAAAATTCTAAAGTAACCACTCTTTGTGTTTTTTTTCGTTTATCTGGGCCACCGACAAAATACTATTTCTTTTGATCGCATTATTTGTGATCGATATGTCAAGAGTATTTCTAGTGTTGATGTCAAAATGTTTGAAATCAGTTAATCACTGACACATTGATTTTTCGTTTCACAATCGCTTGTTATTACTTACTGGGTCGATACAAACTTTCATAACTAAGCAAAGCTGTTGTTCATACATTCTGATTATTGTTGCATTCCGGTTTTACATTCTTCTATTGATTACTCACTGTGGTTATAAACATCTCTGTGCTTCTAATTCTAGTAACCATTCAAACCACCAAACGAAATTTCTCACTATCATGATAATCCTCGTGTGTTTTGTAGGCTAAACTAAACTACCGGCCATTAGAGCAAGTTTATATTTACACATTCATATGTGTTTTCATCCAGTCATGTTGCATATGACTGGTTGAATGATGCAGCCATTAATGTGTATCAAACTTATGAAACAAGTTATCCATGTTGGATAATAACTGAGTGTTTTTTTATACTTGTCATTCTAGCTCTTCGTTTGGAAGTTGGACTGATTTCAACGTAAATAGAATGTCCCTCTAAATTTTCTGAAAGGATAATTCAGTATTTAATAGTGGAGGAAACTTGTTGGCTTGAAAATTCTTTGAACTTCATCATTCATGACATTTCTTATACAATTCATCTATGGGACTGAATCAGGTTTACTGGTTAATCACAGGAAAGGTCTTTAGTGGCTGTATTAAATTCGAATTAGGGCTCACCACTTTAGTAGTCCGAGATCTGACCCCATTTCGGACGAATTATTGAATATGCGATGAAATATATCCTTCCTTCCATTTCCGTATATCATACATAGACGAAGCCCGTTTGTGCGAGGGTCAAATACAATTTTTCGGATGAATTTACTTCATATATTCATTTAAGCGGACATACATACGCGTACAAGCAAAGCGAATCGGAGAAGACACATGAGCCGACTCTATTTGATGAGGTATGACTAAGTGTGTTTATAGCCAGACAAAAATAAGTTGAACGTGTTAATAAGAGAAGCAATGCATATGCATACTCGAATAAAATCACCTAAGATGTAAGTGAATAATAGACAAAGTTGAAATACGTGTAAATAATAACTCGACATGATTGGATTAGTTAACTTATCCGTAGGCTGAGTCAAGCCCTGTTCGCTCAACATAAAAGTACACCCTACATGTCCACGATTTTTATTCTGTCATAAGAGATGTGAGAATTGTAGTTAAAATGACTGCATACTCTGTAGTCTCTCAATCTTTATTATACCGTGAATTTCAGGGTACTATCAATCGTAGTATTCCTGCGTCAACTGGTCAAAACCAAAGTGAGTTGTTATTCGTGTGTACATGAAACTCAACAAATGGTGTGTTTTCTGTGAAAATTAGCTATTTCATTTATTTAGTTGATTGTTTTACAACAAACTTAAGTCACATTGATTTACAACTAATTACACAACTTCAATACTGTTTTTGATAGTTTATGAGATATTTTTCCCATTTCTATTCATTCTCATTTGTTTTTTCGGCAGCATATTTTTATTTGATAAATATTCGTTTCTCATGTATTCGCTAGTTGTTATAATGTCCGAGGAGGAGAAAGCTCAAATCTTATCATCGGATGCTTTTCTACGGTTTTTTGAACGTTCTTCACGTATAATTGAACGAGCTATTTGTTATTCAGATGAAGGTATCTTTTTGGATTATTCCGGTGAAGATCGTGAAACTGAAGAGTACGTTTGGTTTATCATGAATTATGTTGTTAATCTTTGAACAAAGTAGTAATTTATAAATACAATTCAGTCATACAAGTATGCTTAGGTTTAGAGTTTTTCTACCAGATTCCTCATACATAAAATCAAACTGAGTCCATCTTATTTTATATCTTCAATTATATACCCTCACAAAAAATGTTAACCAAAGAATATTTTATTATTGACATGGCTCTAATTAAACAAACACTACTTTCTTGGACTAACGCTATGTTTACTTGAAGAATATATGTCTCTATGCTGTACTGTTATAATGTGCAGTATCCGGTAGCTGATACGAACACTCACTTCCTATAAACAAACTAAGCTACTCTTGAAAAAAAGCCTGGGGTTTGTAAAAAGAAATGTATTTAATTAACCAAGTCAAGAAACAACTGTACTCTGTGTGGAATGATTTGTAATATCTTGCTTAGTGTTGATATTTTCGACTGAAATTTGTTCAGTTTTGTTTGGTATATGGGTATTCTGTGCTGATTGATTAAGTATATCCATTTGGAGAAACGTCAATACCTGATGCAGCAGTAGTGTATTTAGAGAACATATAGTTTACCAACAGAATGTGTACACTTTATCTTCAGACTTCAAGTCACCAAACAAGCAGATTATTGGTTGTCTTCTTTCATATATCTTCTGGTCTTCAAAGCACTTTGATTGCGTCATACATTCGGATCTGACACTATTCTTTCCAGTGTTAACTTCTACACGACACTCTGCCGCATACTACTTATAAGCCATGTTGCAGATAGTATCCGCTACACTGATTTCGAGTCCTAGAGTAAACATTAACTGTGCCATGCAGACACATGCAGCTGACGAGTCCCAAGTAAGACGAAACGCGCGCCTTGGATTCTACTACTGAATACATTCCATCTATCCTATATCAACTGTACACTGATCTATATGTTTCCTGCCCTTAGGAAATCAATCCACGGAGAAAGTTTTATCTTAAAAATTCTCAGAAGTTTGTTATCATTTTTCATCAGAATAGTTTGACATGGATATATAGTAGTGTGGACCAACTTCTGACTGATTAATAACCTACAATATAACACGTTTATTATTATCTTGGTTCCGAACTCAATTACACCCTAATATAAGTTTAGGATGAAGCTGCAGAAATCAGAATAATTTTAACAAATGCTGTTTGTAAGTTAGTAGCTTATTGTGTTGTTACTTCTGCTACAAATTGGACACTTCAATTGATTACATCAGAAAAGGAGTCATTCAGTGACTGCAAACTTCTTCAAGTGGTATAACTCGATATCGTTCAAAATAGCTCTGATGCATTCACTAATTATTTTCCGCTTAATTTTGCTCTTCAGTATCCCTTCATATATGTATAACCTTTTCCACTGTGTACTACATTATGTCAATCTCAATTGTTATTTTCATCTTGTGCTAATCTGGTCTGATAACTTAAGCTAACGCATATTTTGTACTGCTTTTTTACAAAATAATATTTTAGATCTGATGAATTGTTAACTGTATTGAATGAATTTTTCGATGAACGATGGTCGAAACATCGTACAATTACCGGTTTAGATTGGTCCAACTATATTTCCAGAATTATTACTCACCGCATATCATATGAATGAAGAAGCTGTACATGAACCTGAAGGTGTTTGTTTAATGTGGAATATGAAATATCCAAAGAAATTAACACCGGAATTTATATTTCATTGTCAATCCCCCGGTTACATCGGCTAGTTTATCACGTTTTTCATCCGAATATTGTAGTTGGTGGTACGTATTCTGGACAAATTGTTTTTATGGGATAGTCGGTAGGTTAGCCATATTTATATATATATAACTTAAAGATGTTCTGATTTAATAAAGCTATCTTAAATTCATATAGAGATGATTGAGTTTTAACTTTGAATCATGTTCTATCTACTTCAGTTTAAGATATAGCATGTACACACTTAGACTGAAACTTTTGATTCCAGATACATAAATCATCTGTGTCTGGTAATGGTTACAATCCGACTTAGATTGATTTTAGCTTTATGTGTTCAGGTTTAAGCGGTTGATCATGTTGACGTTTACAGTAATATTCCCATTCATTCACATAGTTGTAAATATACCCTGCAAGACAGTTAGGTTTACATCGATTTTCAAGAGAACCATACACTACCTAGTCTTTTTATACTATGATCCAATTAGCACTGATCAATCTTGTGGTGCAACTACACAGGTGCTAAGATCTTCACATGCATCGTACTTACCCGTCTCTTATATCCTTACTGAATTATGGACTATAGCCTAGATTTTGGATATATTGATATTACTCCTTCTGTTTACACTTATATTTGATGCATTTTTAATTAGGTCGATGACTTAGTGGCCAAAGGGTTCGATTGTCAACTGCCTTAGTCACAGGTTCAAATCACTTTCCTGTCCACTTCTATCCGATCGGCTGGATAGGATCACTAGCACTCACGCATAAAAGTTCAACTCAAGGTCGAGTACACCAGTCAGTACTAGATGAACAATATACATTGTATATTTATAAATGATATTTTCTCTCTTTTCAATCATAGTGTTAATAAACCGAACACCAGTTCAACGCAGTCCACTAACATCATGGGCTCATACGCATCCAGTATTTGCAATCACATTGATTGGTACTCAGGAATGCTCACAATATCATTAGCTTAGGATCAGATGGTTCATTATGTGCATGGAGTTTGGAAATGTTAGCACAACCTAGAGAGAAAAGTAAAGTTTGTGAAATGTCTTCCGGTGGTCTGTTTGATCTTTATCCTACATGTATGTCGTTTTTTGCTAATGATGTGAATAATTATGCTGTTGGTGCGGAAAATGGTAATGCGTATTGTGGACAACGGCATAGCAGGTAATAATGAATTATTATTATTATTATCATCATAATTATCTATCTATTTGCTTTATTTTAATTTAATAAGTAACCTTATTCAGCCTACGTCATTATAAGTAGATGTTTAAATTATCCTGTTTTTAATATTCATTACTGAATTCCTGAATCCATCACTGCTAATCATAATCCATTCTATCCTAAACAACTTACGAATCAATTGATTATTATACGTGCTAAAAAAAAAACTTGGCAAGCTATTTTAAACTCAAAACTCATTCGGATAACATGTTGGCGTTCAAGGCAAGAAGTAGTATGTCCGGATCCCGATGAAACACCAACACGGCAGGTGATAAATAATGAATAGAATGTAACACTCGTCTATAACATCCCACTACTAACGACAATCCATCGATTATAAACCAATCAGGTCCATAGAAAATCGATGGGACATTGCTGGCGCACTGGAATCCAGGGCATGCGTTTCGTCCCATTTTTCACATTGTCAGCTGGCTGTATCTGCATCTCATTAGTCCATGTTCCCTTCGGGACTCGAACCCAGTACCGTTCGCTTCAAAACGCTACCTAAGTTCAGATAAGCATTCCTTTGTGCAAGAGGGATGAGAATCAGTTCACTCACTTGAAATGTTTTAAATTATTCGATTTTATTGATATTTTGATTGAGATTTGATCGGCCTTTGTTGGCATATGGACATCGGTGTGCAGATTGCCTTGATATATAGACCTTTATGATACAAGTTTATGCAGAATAGGATCGAATGTAGCTAACTATCTATTCATATTGCATTAAAGTTTTTTTTATAATCAATAATACTATACAATATGTACAGCAATACCAAAACTAGCTATCATACAGTCATTTAAGGCAAATATCATTGAATTCATTTTATTTCGTCCGATTCCCAACTAGCC